CTGTCTCTTGGGTGGACTGAGGTGGAGCTATCTTCATCCAGGAGAAGGGACACCTTCTGTAATTCAACACAGGATGGTACCTTATTTTACAGCAGTACCCTCCCAACATGCACACAGGCATCCAGGGGTGCTTTGTCTCATTTGTACAAAGGACAAAGCTAGAAGAGGTCTTCCCACCAACTCTCAGAGTCCACAGGAAGCAAGGATCCAACTCTCTTCAGTCATATCTGGCAAGACACTTGCAAGTCATAGGCCCCCGAGGTTTACTTGAAGTGGGTGCCTAAACAATGGCACCATAAACTGTGAAAGGGTGCCATTGGGGGTGGTTGATTATATAAGCTCCACTTAAAGACTGGGAGGCCTCCTCTGACTTTGCTCAGAAAGGAAGTGACTTTGCCAAGAGCATCCAGCACAGAGGCCTGGGAATTATGGTGGAGGGCACAGGCTGCCTGGGGGAATCCTCAGCTCTCTGCATATTACCTTTTGGACCCTGGGATACTACTCAACTACTTGAATTACATTTTTGTCTTCTATAAAATGAGCCAAATAAATAACTGTAGCTGTCATCTACAGACAGTTATGTTTAGCTCTCAGGCTTGTCCAAAGGCTGAAATCACCCAGGAGTCAGAGTTTGTGCTTCAGTGAAGAAGGACTACCTCAGAGTCCCATTGGGAAAGGAGGTCACCAGTCACCTTAGACTACTTGCACCTCAAAGTCTAGACAACTGGATTGATAAAAATCCAGTTGCTTCTTATATAAAGAATCATCCATTTTACAGATGACTACAAATCTAAGCAAAAACCCTCAAGAGAAATTACAAGAGCACACATACGGAGAACTGGAATTACTCACCTTACACCAAAAATCTCACCTTGGGAATGGAGGGAGAATCAGCAGCACAGTGAAATGGACAGTTGCACTATTAGACCATGCAGTGGCTGATCTTCTGAAATATACTCCATATGGATTAGAGACACTGATGAACCCCATTTGTGCCAACTTTGTGGACACAATCAATAATTTAGAAATTAAAACTTAGATTGAAGATTTGAAACTTTCTGCATTCTTGAAACCATCTGCATTCACCAAGAGAGTCAACACTGCTCCTAATACTGTGAAATAGTGTGTAGGGGTTGACAGTTATTATGCTGCTTCCCCCAAAGCAAACTTTTTATTTTTTATATAAAATAATTAACTTTGTTCCACAACCTCATTAAAAAAAATGATGACATCTGTCAGAAACTCGCAGACATAACTGAAAACTGCCTCTTCTCACTAGTCAGTCAGTTGTGCTAAATCTGGACACTGAAAATTTTCAGTTCCTCCTTAGTGTACCTGAGTTGTACCTCTTCTTTCATTGTAGTGAAAAGGTCACAGTCTTTCAGTTAAACATATATGACTCCTTGTGAGTCACCTAGTGACTGCCAAGCCTCCTGTCAGTACAGGGGAAGGGCTGCCTAGTTCTGTCAATAAACTAATAGACATCCCAAAATTCAGGAAAATAGCTCCTCTTATAATGAACAGTAATACCAATCACTGCAGCCAGCTGTTTGACCATCATTTATCCAAACTTATTTACATTCCCAGGATAGATGTGATATTTTCTGCCTGCAGTCCATTCTGGAGAGATTACTGCCAGATTGAATGAACTTACTTATCCTTGAAATATATAGTATCTATGAATGGATGTCCTGATGCATGGGGTAGCTATTAAATGCTGGATTTCCATCTTCCTAACCAACCACCACACACACACACACACACACACACACACACACATACACACATACACACACACACACTTAGTATTAAAATATAAGAATTTGTGCTATGACTTTTAATACCTAAAGAATATATTTATAATTTATAGTTATCTTGCTTAAGAACTTCATGATAGGGTATAATTGATTTTCTTTTCCTTCAATAAGAAATAATCACCTTTTGTTGATTTCATTTGCTGCTTTATTGATCACCTACATGTTCTACAATGGTGACTTCAACAAAAGGATAAAGAAAGATTATATTTGTAAGGTACATTAATAGCTAAGTAAGCATACATCTGATATTTGCTATCGTATTCCTATTCTTTACATACAAATGTTTGTAAGTTATGCTAAAGATTATTTTATAGTGAAATAAGGATTTGCAAAATCACACAAGTAAAATAATGGATTCAGTTTAACTCTGTTTTCAGTGATGAATTATTTAGTGTGGAAGTTCAATTTAATATTTTATTTATTACCAAATTAGTATGTAATTAATGGAAATCTCAAAGTTCTTAAAAATATTATTAATATGTAATATTTGATTTTTATAACTTTAGAATGTGAATTCCATAAGGAGAATTTCAAACAAATATTTTCTATATTAGAGGTTCTTATGAATTCTATGTAAGAAGTCTTAAAGAAATTTTTGTGAACATTACTATATTATGATAATTATATCACAGTTGATATGAAGAAAAGAATAAGGGTCAATTTTTATTCATATAAAAAAATGGAAAACTATTTGGAGTTTCAGAAATTCTGGTGCTTATTGTAGTAAAATGATAAAGTAAAATCATTGTGTACATACGCAATGAACACCAGATGAGAGTCCTGGCAAACAGCACAAATCCAGATATTATAAAAGACAAAGAGAATAAATGTTTTGAAAAATAATTTTTTAAATATTAGCATCTGGTCTTACATAATAATTTCATCTTATCATTTCATTAGAATTTTTGAAACACACTTACAGACATTCATTGAAGGCAGGACTGTTAAGAAAAGCAATCCTGGGCAGGGGTTGTGGCTCAGTGATGGAATGCTTGCATAACACATCTGAGGCATTGAGTTTGATCCACAGCACAACATGAAAATAAATAAATAAAGGTATTATGTCCATCTATAACTAAAAATATTTTTTTTAAAAAATAAGAAAAACCAAAACAAAACAAAAGTAAAGAAAAACAATCCTTATTTGTTGATTTATAATCACTCTGGCATCTTGTTCATGCCTTGCAGATTGAATTGGTTACTTAATCTCAAAGTTTTTATCAAACAAGCAGGCTGGGTAGTTAAGTTGGATTTCATTAAACCTACTGAGAACTGAACTACTTAATTTTACTAAGCCACTATGGAAAAAGTTTCTTTCTGATGTAATAAAAGCAAGATATTAAAAAAAAAGAAAAAAGAAAGAAAAATGATCACTTATTCAAGCATCATCAGCATTTGACACTCTTGATTAGTCCCTCTTTGAAATCCTTTCTTTCTTTTTTCTTTTTTGGGTTCCAGGGATTGAACTCAGGGGCACTCAACCACTGAGCCACATCCCCAGCCCTATTTTGTACTTTATTTAGAGACAGGGTCTCACTGAGTTGTTAAGCACCTCCCTTTTGCTGAGGCTGGCTTTGAACTCAAGGATCCTTCTGCCTCAGTCTCATGAACTCCTGGGATTACAGGTGTGCACCACTGCACCTGGAGAAATTCTTTCTTTACAAGCCAATATATTTCTTTCTGGATTCTTCTTTCATTGTTTGCTTCTGAGATTCCTCTGCTGATACCTTTTCTACTTTCTAGTCTCTAAAATATGTAGCACCTCAGCCCTTGAGATTGGCTTACCTGGTTCTTCTATGAGTTGATGACAGTCACATTTGTATTTGCCAGTCCTAGCCCATTGCCTAAAGTTCAGCCTAATGTATCTGGCTAGATGCCTCACAGTCCTGTAATGATATGTAATGCATTTAACTTGATTCAAGTTGAAAATCTAATTCTATCAAAACATGAATACCATTACTATTTCCTGACATTCAAATACCTATTTTGTAGTTATTAATTACCCAGATAAAACAAATTAATGGTTTATTTTTTATTTTTGATTAGTCCTAATTACTTTTTTAAAATTAAAATGAAAAATAAAAGATTGTTCTTTGAGAGTTGGACTATATTGGCAATATTGTAAACATAAGCAAAAATCATAAGAACCTCCTGATCAGAATATAGCTGTAAGTATTTTTGAACTTTTTTTCATGAAAAATATTGTGCTAAAGCTAATGTGTAGTTGAGGAAACCTAAAACAGAAAAGGGTATTAGTCTAGTGATAAAGTAAGAATAAATATAAAATTTGACAAATACTAAAGCAGTATTAAACTATTTGGTCTTATCCTCATTGGTTTTCTCTGTACACAGAAGAGTGGGGGATTTTTAGTAAGCTTGCTTGCCTTATTTATGTCCTCCTCTAATTCAGCACAGGAAGAGAATTCACAGTAAGGAAGATGTGTGCTTTTGGTTTCTGTGATGGTATATCAGTGTAAATCAATATAGTTGCATTCCTAGGTGTATCTGTTCTTCTGTTTATTTTAGTTTGTTTAAGTTGATTTCCTGGGCACAGAAAACTTCTGCATCTTCAAATCAAAGGGTCACAATCTTGATTTGGATATTCAGTTCAGTCAGAGCAAAGCTTCATTAAAATGGAAAAAGAAGGAGGAGGAAAACAAACTACCCCAGACATTGACCCATCACTAACAGCTAGATCTGATGTTGGTAGGAGTAGATATGGCATTGACAGTAACATTTTGAGTATTTCCTGTTGAACACAAAGACTATCAGAGAACACTATGTCAGGTCATCTTGTGACTGTGATAAATTATACCAATAGCCCCTCCTAACAGAACAAGACAACAAAATAAAAGCTAAGACTGTTTCATAACGATCTCAAAACACAACAAAATCAAATCACAAAACTCAAAAATACTGATTTCTGTCCCTCATTCATGCCCCCTATACCCTACTAACACGACTGATGCTGTTTCTTTCAGATAACAGCAACAACTTTAACCTTAATTTATTTTTACCTATTTTGAGATAAGCTTCCTTAAGGAAGCTTCCTTAATTCCTGTCATTGAATTACCCTTGCTTCCAGACAGGACTCAGTACAACACACTTTCTTGAATCCTCTCCCAAATCACCTCTATAAGCCCAAATGTGGTAGTCTTTTTAATTTTTTTAGAGAGAGAGAGAGAGAGAGAGAGAGAGAG